TGCCGCTCCCTGACTGCAGCTCCTGCCTAGGTAGCACCACCTATGCAGGGAATGGGACCACAATCAGGATAATGCCCTACAGACACGCTGACACGCTAATCTGATCTGGGAAAACCCTCCATTGAGCCTCCCTTCTCAGGTGAATCTAGCCTATGCCATGTTGACGGCTGACCACTAAACTAACTAGGACACATGGAAAGATTGGTGCCTTCTGACTTGGAACGTAGCTCAGGTGGTAGAGTGCTTGCCTACTCACAAGACACACTGGATTTGATCTCCAGCACCACATAAGCTGGGCACGGTTTCCCACAACTGCACTCCCAGTACTTGGGAAGTTAGAGGCACAGAGGATCAGAATTTTGAGGCCATCCTCAGCTACACGGTGAGTTCAAGGCCAGCCTGGGATACATGAGACCCTGTCTCAAATAATAAATTAAGTAACACATAAAGCTTAAAACAATAAAAAAAAAAAAACCAATCCTACAGCCACGTCTTCCCCATTGTGACACTGTATCCTCAGCTATGAGACAAAATAAACCCTTCCTTAACATAGATAATTAGTAGTAAGCGTGATACAACTGCGCACACGTGGAGTCTCAGGAGGCCAGGGCTGGCACAAAGCTTGAGCCCAGAAGTTCCTTGAGTTAGCTGACTCTTTTACAGTAGAAGAATTAAACCTCAAGAAAATGGTTACAAAAAGCATGTTTGAGCCCCATCACATAAGAAACTGTCTCCACAGAGGGAAGGACAAACTCTGCTGAGAAGTTCACCTCTAGGATGGCGGTTTCCTGACTCTATGTTTGATGTCTCCCTCTTCCAAGCTTTCTACTCTGAAAGTACTGATTCTGTAATCAGGAAAGAGGCTCCGACTTCAAAACATCAAGGCTAGGACTGCAGCTGGGCTGACAGAGGGCTTCCTGAGATGCACAAAGCCCTGGGTTTAGTGCTTGTCACCTCAGCTGCAGGCTGCAGGTCTTACCCTATGGCCAATGACGGAGCACCCAGCACCTAAGCAGGCTGAGACAGGGCAGCAATTGAGGCCAGCTTGGGCTACATGGAGAGGTGGAGACCAGACTGAGCTACACGGAGATAAGGGCCAGCCTGAGCCACACGGAGGTGGAGACCAGCCTGAGCTACATGGAGACAAGGGCCAGCCTGAGCTACACAGAGGTTGGAGACCAGCCTGAGCTACACAGAAGTAGGGGCCAGCCTGAGCTACACAGAAGGGGAGACCAGCCTGAGCTACACGGAGGTGGGGGCCAGCCTGGGCTACGTGGCCAGCCCCACGAGAGAAGGGCCGGTGACTATCCCACAGACTTCCCAAGCCCTGGAACTTACTTCTCTCAGGCAGGGAGATCCGCCCGACCAAGAGGGGAAACTGCTTCCCGCTTTCCTGAGCTGAGGACAACGGAGCGGCGAGTTGAGGGTGCCAGGCACACCCCTCCCGCACGCATGTGCACACCAGTGCGGCCTGACTGCGCCTGCGTCAAGGGCTGCACAGTCTCCAAGTCCACGCGGACCGTCAGCCACCCTGGAGCCTTCCCGCCAAAGCCTCACCCAAACAGAAAGCGCCAGCCCTCCGCGCTGCGCAACAGCCAACCAGAAACAGGATCTGGACCTCAGAGCCCGCCCCTGAGACGCTCTGGACCAATGAGCATCCGCGGAGCCAGGCTTCGCTAGCCTTTGCAACCGTGGCTGCAGCTGTTGAGCGCGAGCTCCAGGCGTTGAAGCGACTGAGGTGGCGGAGGAGTCCAGCATGGTGAGGCTCGGGCGTGCGGGAAGGCCGGGCCGCAGGTTCTATCTGCAGCAAGGGCGACGGCCGCCCCGGCTGGGGTCTGCTCAGGGCCTGGCGTCCCGTGGGGTGCAGCGTCTGGCGGGCGGGGCATCTGGCGGGCTGCAGCTGTTGCGCGTGGTCGCTCCAAGCAGTTGAGGCGGCTTAGAGGAGCGTCAAGGTGGCTGCCGTGGCCGGAGGAGTCCAGCATGGGGAAGCCGGGCTGCGGGGCCGTGGTGTGGGGAGGACGACGGCCGCCCACGGCTCTAGACTGCCCAGGACCTGGCATCCTGCGGGGGCTGCGTCTGGCGTGTGTGGGGTCTGGCGTGTCTGTATGCGTGGGGTCTGGCGTGCGTGCCGTCTGGCCTACGTCTCCTGGGCCTCCAGGCCCGCTGCTCCCCGCGGGCAGCCAGGGGCCCCTGAGCACCAGGAACGGCGGTGCCTCGGCCCAGGCTGCCCGGCGTGAGTATCAGGATGCTCAGGGAGGACGAAGTTGCTGCCCCTAGGAGCTCTGACGTCCTGTCTGCCCCTGGGGTTTCTGGAGGGGGATGCTTCCGGACGCAGATTCAAGGTGCAGGATGACCGGGTCAGGTCTGCAAGCCCGGAGAGCCCCAATCCTCCGGGAAGGAGCCTGTCTGGGTTCGGTATGTGCACAGCAGTCCCTGGAGAGGCCACGACGGGGCGCTGGGGGAGGGGGTTACTTCAGCTCTGAGCTCAGCACTCAGCAGCTCCCCAACCCAGCTGAGGACCTTTGAAGGGTCTGTGTCTACTCGAAAGAACAGGCCCATGTAGCAAGGGTGGAAGGGAATGGACGCCTGGGCCACAGGGTCTGGGCGTTTCCTGCCTCGGCCTCCAGGGCTCTGGTGACTGTCCGTGACCGCCAAGTCTGGCTTCACCATTTCATGTCTGCTGTTTGGTCCCTGTGACTCAGGGACAAATACAGTGGTGAGGTTCCAGAGCACAGTGAGCACGGGTATGAATCTCGATGGAGTGCTGCCTACTGTATGCCTCAGGTGGAGTGCTGTTCACTAAGCTGTTCTGGATAGGGTTAGTTGTCAACTTGACACACCTGGGTAGAAGAGCCTCATTTGGGGAATTGCTATTCCCTCCATAGGACTGGCCTGGGGCCCTGCCTGTGGGGCATCTTGGTGGTTGAGTGATGTGGGAGAGCCCAGCCCGCTGTGGATGGTGCCACCCCTGGGCAGGTGGGTCTGTTGCATAAGAAAGCAAGCTGAGCAGGGGACAGGGGAGCAAGCCAGTAAGCAGTGTTTCTCCATGGCCTGGGCTCCCTGAAGAACTGTGACCTGGGAGATGTGAGCCAGATAACCCTTTCCTCCCTGTGCTGGTGTGGTCAGAGTGTTTTGTCACAGCAATGGAGAAACAAAGTGGAACAGTCTCCATTTGTAATGCTTATCTTTTGTAGGGGTTGTTTTCTTTTGACGCATGGTTCCAGCCTTGCTAGGGTTTAAAAATACATTAAAGGGCCGGGTGTGGTGGCACACGCCTTTAATCCTAGCACTTGGGAGGCAGAGGCAGGCAGATCTTTGTGAGTTCGAGGCCAGCCTGGTCTGTATAGTGAGTTCCAGGGGCTACAGGGAGACCCTGTCTCAAAAAGAAAAAAAAAACAAAAAAAAACATTAAAGGACCATCTTGCTCTTTACGTAAATCGACGTATCTGTGTGTGCAGCAGCTGCCCTGGAGGTCAGAACAGCTTTGGGAGCTGGTTCTGCACTGTGGTCCTAGAGACTGAATTCTGCTCTCAGGTTTTCAGCAAGCACCTGAACTCACCATGTTTGAAAAAATGTGAGCTGAGACACTGAGATGCCACACAGAATTACACTTCCCATGTCATATAGCTCAAATGCTTTGAGGATGAGTGTCATGTTTGTGTTCTGGTTTCCAGCGCTAGTGCATCTCTATCCACGTGGGGCAGGCGGGTGTCCAGATCGGCAATGCCTGCTGGGAGCTATACTGCCTTGAGCACGGCATTCAGCCTGATGGTCAGATGCCAAGTGACAAAACCATCGGAGGTGGTGACGACTCATTCAACACCTTCTTCAGTGAGACAGGGGCCGGCAAGCACGTTCCCAGAGTGGTGTTCGTGGACCTGGAGCCCACTGTGGTCGGTAGGTGCATAAGGAGTGACGCGGGAGAAGCCCATGTGGGCTCCTGCAGTTCCTCT